TCAATTCTATTGTGAATCAATGTAAAGGAATTTATTACAAATCAATATAAAGGTTAGAAAGTGAAAGTGTTCATCAGTCAGTCGTGTCTGACTCTTTGTGGCCGCATGGTCTATAGCCCACCAGGCTCATCTGTTGATGGGATTCTCCAGGCAAGAATACTGGAGTGGGTCGCCATCCCCTTCTCCAGGGGAGCTTCCTGACCCAAGGATTGAACCCAGGTCTCCCACATCTTTTCCATCTGAGCCACCAGGGAAACCCAAAAGTTAGAAAATGAGACCTCAAAATTTGGCCAAAGGTTGGTATTTGGGGCTTAGATTTGAGTTCCATGGTATTATGTATGAGCTTCTAAAATTTTCCCAGAGGAGAGCAGGATTTTGACCCTCCCAGAGTCAGACAGCAAGGTGAGCCTGACGGTGATAATGGGTGAGGTGGCTCAGAACACAGGCCTTTCTGGGCACATGAACCTGCCCTTTTAGTGCAGAAAGCCAGATCTTAAAAGAAAGAATGAAGCTGGATGAAGAAAGCTGTCTGGGATCACCCTCTGAGATATAATTGCATAACTTACAGCAAGACTGACAATAAAATACAAGAAGCTAGGGTGCAGTCTGGCGCTTTCGTATTTCCTTAGGGGTTATATGCCCAGCGGTTAGTCCAGGCCCTTCAGAAGACACCCCAGTGGCTCTGGCCACTTCCCATCCCCCTGTCCTCATCTCTACCACTCTGCCCACAAGCTTAAGCCACAGTCACCATCATCAGTTATTCATCCATACACCTCTCCATCTGGCTTTTGGGCTTCAGAGTTATTGAGCCCTTGTTTGGATACATTATGACCCAGGGATCTCATGCTGAGGGGCTGTCTTTCCCTTGGTATGTTAGATCTCAGATAAAATGCCATCTCCTTGGAAAGCTTCTCTTCAACCGCAATCTAAAGTACCCCCTTCTCCTCCTTTGTCAATAGTGCCATGCTGTTCGCTGTTGTATTTTCCTGAAGGCAAAAACAACTGCCTAAAAATGTCCTATTTATTCACTTGTTTATTTACATCCCCTTCCACTGGTGTACGAGCTCCAGGAAATCATAAATTCTGACTTGTTGAGAGCCTAGTTACAACAGAATCTGGCACTGAAATAAGAGTGAAATAAGAGTGAAATAATAGTGAAATAAGAGTGGTCCTGCCCATGCAATGAGGAGGCAGTAGGGAGGATGAGATTGTTATGTAGTTCTCAGGGTAAATGATGGCATTTATTGAGTGTTTGATCTTAAAAAAAAAAGCAATAACACAATTAAGCTATGATGGTGCTGTCAGGGAGGAAGAAATTCCCCTCTGCCCCTAGATTCCTGACAGGTTGTGTGTGTGATCAGTGGCTCAGTTGCATCCCACTCTTTGAGACTGCCAAGAACCGTGGCCCACTAGGCTTCTCTGTCCATGGAATTTCCCTGGGAAGAACACCGGGGAGGGTTGCTATTTCATTCTCCAGGAGATCTTCCTGATCCAGGGATCAAACTGAGGTCTCCTGCATTGCGCGTGGATTCTCTACCTCTGTGTCAGCTGGAAAGCCACTTGACAGATTAACAGGAGACAATCAGACCAAAGTTTAATGGCATCACGGGAAAACTCAGGAACTCACCAAAGCCAAAGTCCTCACCTTTAACACCATCTTCAGCTGAAGATAAAGGAGGATGGTGGGGGTCGTGATTTGAGACTTCAAAGGGAAGGAATTGGCAATTCATGTGGAGATACGAAAGCAGATGTTTGGTAAAAAAAAAAAAAAAAAAAAAAAAGTCTGCGGGACCAGGCAGAGACAGAGGGATACCAAGAAGAATTTTAACAAATGAAATTTGCTAGGAATCCTCCCTGTCTACATACCTAGCTCAAACTATAGCTATCCATGGGACAGCTCGTTTCCTGGAGCAAGTTTTCTATTTACACTATTTTAGGCAGTTATGAGGAAGGTCAACATTTCTATTTGAGTCATCTGGCACTTGATTGTTTCCAGCTCAAAATAATCTGGAGACCAAAGAGACATTTAGGGTGGCAAGTTCAGTTTTTCACAATGCCAAGGACAAGATTACCTTCCTCTGTGGTTTATCTTGGGCAGCTCTCTCAGTAGAAACCACCATCATGGCCAATGTTGTAGGCAACACTTCATAGAACCATCCTGTTTTCACAGCAATGAGATTTTAAAACTAGGTGCATACTGACTTTAAATCTCACCAACACACAAGACGGCTGAGAAGACATAAATATTAAGAAATAAATTTCCTATAATTGCATCAAATATGTCAAATTTTACAGAATGCTTTGCCCTGGGCTGTGGGAAGCACTGGTCAGAATGACGCAAACTCTAACTTTGTTAATAGGTAGAGATCAAGTCTTATTTCCCACCACTCCACTTACCAAATGAGTGACTTCAAAGTAATGTCTTAACTGTTATGATCAGCGATGTCCTTATTAAAATGAGATGTTCACATGACTTTGATGTAGCCTGAGAAGATTCTTGGGTGAAGTATATTAAATGCCTGCCCTATGACTGGTGTGGAAGAGATAACCCAAAGCAAGCAATCTGGGTTATTATCTGATTTATTCTCACCAGTCCCCCTCAGGTGGAAGGCAAACTCAGGTGTTATAACTGATGAAGGCATAGTACCAGGAAGAAGTGCCAACAGCTGAAAAGCACAGTTTCAAACCCCATGTTCTACCCTCTGCCCCAGTGCTGCCCCTTTCCTAAAAATAACATGACTCTTTTCCTCTTCTTTTTTTAGCTTGCTTACATGTGCACATAAGTAAATGTGTGTATTTTGTGATGTTCTGTACATAAAAGAAATGTATAAAAGTATCTATACGTTCCAGAGAGGAATAAGACAGAACACAAGTAAGCACGGACCCACATCCAGTATAAGAAAGAGATCCTATTACCAACTGTCTGCCATGAATCTCCCCTACCCCCACCTACCTCTCTCTCCATTCTCCCAAGAGGGGTCAATATTCTGAAACTGGTTTTTCTAACAAATTGGATTTTGCATATGGTTTTCTTCCATATGTGTTTATCTTTAAAGTTGTATCATTTCATTTTCTCATTTTTAATATAAATAAATGGTAGTAAAAAGCCTCTTGATGAAAGTGAAAGAGAAGTGAAAAAGTTGGCTTAAAGCTCAACATTCAGAAAACTAAGATCATGGCATCCAGTCCTGTCACTTCATGGGAAATAGATGGGAAAACAGTGGAAACAGTGTCAAATTTTATTTTTGGGGGCTCCAAAATCACTGCAGATGGTGATTGTAGCCATGAAATTAAAAGACGTTTACTACTTGCAAGGAAAGTTGTGACCAACCTAGATAGGATATTTAAAAGCAGAGACATTACTTTGCCAACAAAGGTCCGTCTAGTCAAGGTTATGGTTTTTCTGGTAGTCATGTATGGACGTGAGAATTGAACAGTGAAGAAAGCTGAGCAGTGAAAAATTGATGCTTTTGAAGACTCTTGAGAGTCCCTTGGACTGCAAGGAGATCCAATCAGTCCATCATAAAGAAGATCAGTCCTGGCTGTTCATTGGAAGGACTCATGCTGAAGCTGAAACTCTAATACTTTGGCCACCTCATGTGAAGAGTTGACTCATTGGAAAAGATGCTGATGCTGGGAAGGATTGGGGGCAGGAGGGGAAGGGGATGACAGAGGATGAGATGGTTGGATGGCATCACCAACTTGATGGACATGAGTTTGGGTAAACTCCGGGAGTTGGTGATGAACAGGGAGACCTGGCGTGCTGCAATTCATGGGGTCGCAAAGAATCGGATACAACTGAGTGACTGAACTGAACTGAGTATACCTTATATATTTTGAGTTGTTTTTTGCCACTGAATATTGGATTGGATTCTTGAGATTCCACCATGTTGTTGAAAAAGGTAGTTCATTCTTTTTCTTCACACAAAACATTTTGCTGTTTTATGTTATTCTATTGGCAAAAAATAACACAATTGACTTATCCATTCTATAAATGACAGATTTTGTAGTTTTCAGTTCTTATATATATCTGTGCAAGAGTTTCTTTAGAATATAAAACTTATAGGCTATAAGACATTTGTTAATTTTCACTCAACTATTTAGTTTTAAAAATTGTTTTTATTGCAGGCATTGTTTAAGCACGAAGTTAGAGCAGTGAAGAAAATATACAAAAAGAGCAGTGAAGAAAACATACAAAAATCTCTTCCCTTGTGGTGCTTATATTTTTGTGGGAAAGGCAAATAGTACATATAATAAGACAAAAAACAAAATATTATGTTTGCCAGGATAGTCCTGATTATGCTACTGTGGCAAATACTGATAATCCTCAAATCTTAGAGTCTTAAAAATATTATTTCTTGATTATGGTACATGTTCTTTAACAGGCAGCTGGAATCTGTCTCCAATTGTTATCTTTCTCATTTGGGGACCCAGGATGACCAAAGTCCCACACTCTGGGAACACTCCGGGCACCAGAGGAGGAGGGCAAAGAGAATGGCAGAAACCACATCAAGCTTCTGCACAGAATGAACACATGTCCCTATACCTGGCCTCAGGCTTCAGGAAAGGCACCTGCCCTGGCTCAGGAGGCAGTGGTGAACAACCACGCACGGAGAAGAAGGAGGTGATCAAACACTTGGAAGCAGTCCCGGTGACTGACTCAAACAGAATTTATTAGACGGTTGTAATAATAAGAGGAAAGATGCAACAGGAAGAGGACTCGCATAGGAGTACAGAGCGGGAAGCAGAATTCGGGAGAGTGATTAGCACATGGTGATTAGAGACGGCCCCACCAAGCTGACACTGGGACCAATAACCACAGCAGACAAGAGAATGACCCATTGTTGTGGGCGGGGGCAGGGGTGGGGGGCTTGGGGGGCGCACTTCCAGGGAAGCCCATTCCCAGCTAAGGGAATCAGGGAAAATCCCAGGGCGGAAGCTAAGCGGAGTGTTCTAGGAAGGGGGCAAAGAGGGCCGGAAGTAGAAGCCGCGTTAAACTGGAGGCGGTTTGTGAAAAGACGTTTACAGCTCTAAGTTACAGAGGTTCGAGTACAGGTGTTTGAGCAGAAAAGTGACATGATCTGACACATTTAGCCACACAGGCGGCTGCAGTGGTAAGAACATAGGGAATGACGGAGGAGGGAGTGGAAAAACCTGGAACGGGAGTCTAGTTAGGAGGATATTTCAATAATTCAGACAAAAAATGAGGGTGATATGAATTGGGCTGCTGGAAGTTAGGACTGTGAAAAGTGGTCAGATTTAGGGTTCTGAAAGGAAGACAGGAGTCAAAGAGCTTAAAGACTTAGGTGTGAACAAGGGGGATTTGCAAAGACCACTAACCAGGGTGGACAAGCCATCTTCAGCATTGCAAGGACAGTGATTGAGTGCTGCGTCCAGCAGTTGCATCTGTTAGCCTACACCTGAAGGATACAGTTATCCTTTTTTTTCATATCTTAAGTAACAATACTCCTTGAGATTTTAACCTATTTGTTAAACTGATGGGTATGAAGTATTACCATGTTTTATTTTTAGTTCATAATTCCTTGATTTTTCATGAGTAATCTTCACATACTCATTTGACAATTGAGATCTTTTCAACCAAAAGACTGATTACTGAATCAATTCTTTTTCCTGTTGGGTTGCCCTTTTTTTTCCTTTTCTGTCAAAGTTATTTACATATTTAAGTAAAATTGAAAACATCTAGCCTATCGCTTACATATTTTCTTCCTTCTGTGCTGTCTTTTATTAAATGCTTTTAAATTTAATGTATTCAGATCTTTCAATCTCCTTTTATGTTATTAAATATTGTCTCTTATTAACATTAAATCTAAGTTTACCAGTGTTTTCTTATATTTTAAACTAAAAGTTTTACTGTTTCTTTTGAAGTCTTTATCCAATATTAACTTGATGTTTTCCCATGGTGTGAAATTGTGAGAACATTTGTTGATAATTCTATCTTTTCATGTGATATTGTCTACTGTTACACAACAATTAACCCAAAGCTTAGTGGCTTAGAAGAACAAACATTTTGCTCTAAGTTTCTCTGTATCAGGAATTCAAGAGCAGATAACCTGGGTGATTTTGTCTCTCATGGGGTCACAGTTACAATGGGGCTGAAACTACAGTCACCTCAATGCTTGCCAGGTGACTGCTGGCAGTTCCTTACATGGGGGCCTCTCCAAAGAGATGCTTGAGTGGTGTAGAACACAGACACTGGCTTCTCCTGGGAAAGTGACCTGAGAGAGAATAGCTGGTAACAGCAAGTCCTTTGTGACCTATTTTAGATACGGTATGAATATGGCTTCTTAGAGGAAAGTCACCTAGTCTAACACACATTCAAGGGAAGGGAAATTAGATTTTAGTTCTTGAAGAGAGAAATATCAAAGAATTTATGAGTCACGCGCACATTGGTGACTTGCAGCATCTCTTCTGTCATAGCTCACATGTGCTTACTTCATAGATCTGTCACGGGTACCATGGCTTTTTTGCCTATTCCTGCACCAGTCCCACCCTGCTTTGGTTTCTGTGACCTTGTAATACCTCTTTACATCAGGTAGAGGAAGATCCCCTCAGGTGATTGTTGTTGTCTTTCTCCTTCTCCACCTCCTTCTCCATCCCCTTAATCTTCCTCTCCTTTTGAAATCAGCTTTTTTGCACCTTTCCTGTTGGCGCATTTCTGTTCATTTCTAACTTTAAATGAATCCAATTATAGAAATGAATCACAAGGCAATTGAAACTAACTCCGACTTATGCTCTCCTGAATGCACACCATGCCTTGTCTAATCTGCTGATTCTTTTCCTAGATAAAAAGAGGTAAGAATGAAGAATTAAGCTGTTTAAAAAGATGACTAACTCTACCCTCACAACCTCCTAAGCAAGTCTGCAGGCAGATCACGTGGGCAAGATAAGATCTGAAGATATTACCACCCAGTACTCAATGAGGATGATGATTCAGAACTTACCTTCTTGCCTTGATGACTCACTGAGATTCTCCCCCCTCTTTAGCCCCTTTAAACTGGCATTGCTGAGCAGAATCTTCAGAGTTGGTCTCAGGACACAAGTCCATCTTCTCCCCAGATTGCCAGCTTTCCTGATTAAGACACCTTTCCTTTCTATTCACACTTGCCTCTCAAATTATTCGTTTATGAGCAACAGGCAGCCAAACCTGGGTTCAGTAACATGTCTTCAAATCTTTCTATATTCTTTGCTCTTTTCTAATATGTTAGAATCGTCTGTCGTCTTTCATGGAGAAACCTATTGTAATTTCTATTAGAGTTGTATTTAATTTAGATATGAATTTGTACAGAACTACTTCATGGCTTTGAGTTTTCCTATTTGTGAATATTTTATGTTTCTTTTATTGACATCTATTTTAATGTGTTTAAACATACTACTGCAAATATTTCTATAGAATAATTCACATAATATTTAGATTTATTTCTAGCCACTAATACTTTTGGTTGCTACATCAAATGTCTTTCCAATTTTTCTCTTAAATTATCTAACTCTTTGTTACTGGCATATAGAAATCAATTAATTTTTTTATAATGACTATATCTGGACTACCAGCAAAGCAGTATTACTAATTTTAATGATCTCAAAAAGGGAATGACTACTCACACCAGTATTCTTGCCTGGAGAATTCCATGGATAGAGGAGCCTAGTGGGCTACAGTCCATGGGGTCACAAGGAGTCAGAGACAACCGAGTAACTAACACTACTACTAATATTTAATGATCTTTTATAGATTTTATGACTTTTCTATATGTATTAGTCAGGCTTTCCAGCTGGTGCAGTGATAAATAATCTTCCTGCAAATGCAGGAGATACAGGAGACTCAGGTTTCATCCCTGGGTCGGGACGGCCTCCTAGAGTAGGAAATGGCAGCCCACTCTAGGATTCTTGCCTGGAAAATTCCACGGACAGAGGAGCCTGGTAGGTTACAGTCCATGGGGTCACAAAGAGTCGGATGTGACTGAGTGACTGAGCACGTACATGCACGTGTGTGTGTCAGTAGTTCAGACGTGTCCGACTCTTTGCGACCCCATGGACTGTAACCCACCAGTCTCCACTGTCCATGGAATTCTCCAGGCAAGAATCCTGAAGTGGGTTGCCATACCTTTCTCCAGGGGATCTTCCTGATCCAGGAATCGAACCCAGGTCTCCTGCACTGCAGGCAGATTCTTTACCATCTGAGCCAGCAGGAAAGCCCATATTTGTCATAGTTCTCTAGATAAGCAGAAGCAACTGCAGATAGTTCAATTGAATGATTGATCAATATGTCAATAGGTAGGTGTAAGGGGAGATTTCTTGTTAGAACTGAAGCACATGTTTGGAGTCTGAGAAATCCCAGAGTCTGCCTTCTGCAGGTTGGGAACAAGGAAAGCTGGTGGTATAATTCAGTCTGAATCCAAAGACCTGAAAATGGGGAGGCTGTTGGTGTACGCTCTAGTCTGAGTTAAAAACTCTAAGAATTAGTAGTGCTGATATCCAAGGACAGGGGAAGATAGATGTTTCAGCTCAAATAGAGGGAATAAATGTGCCTTTTCTTTGTTTCTCTGTTCTCTTCACCCCTCTCAGTGGGTTGGATGATGCCCATTCACGAAGGTGAGGGTAATCTTTTTTACTCAGTTCACCAGTTTAAATGCTAATCTCTTCTGGAGAGTCACAGACATGCTGAGAAACAATATTTCACCAGCTACAGTATGTGATACTAGCCATCACATAATATTTATAAAGCATCATGTTAACATCAGGTTTGCCCCCTTTTTTCCAATTCTTCTGACTTTTGTTTATGTTTCTAAAATTTGAATATGCTGCATAGACTTCAAGTTTGGCAATACTGCTTTTTCAAGAATACTTAGTAATATCAACTGTGCCATCACTTCTGCTTTTCTCTATCCTCAGAAAGATGTCATAGGATTTGAAAATAACAAATTGTGGATAAACCTAATTTAGCTACAAAGGGAGATTACTGCAGTTTATGCCCAACTGTTTTAGTAAAAATATACAGACTTAAATTCAGTGGTTGGGATACTACAGTGGTACAGACATCATGTTTTACACCTAATAATGTTCTTTTTTTTTTTTCTTTTGGCACACACAGGAATAGCCCCAACCTGAGAATGGATCAAACAAAATGGAAACTTCCATGTGATGTAAAGATAAAATATTGAATAGTTCTTCAATCTGAGAACACATTTTTCAGTTGAATTTTCAGTCTTGTCAGTCCTCAATCACTTGTTTTAACCTCTATTTCAATTTTTAAAAACCACCAAAAGACCATTAAAGGATAGTAAATAATGTGGGATGCCCATTAATATGGGTGAGCAGCAATGAAGTTTGTACCTTGATCAGAGAAATATAACCAGGTGGGTCTGATTGATGGTAAACTAATAGCATAAGTACTATTATTATATTTTCTTATTCTCATATTTTCTATGGTTGTTTCTGTTACAGAATAAGCTGAATCTAGGTAGAATGGTGTCAATTACTGTCAGCATACATTTGTAGCATCCCCACTCTACACACACACCCACACCCCATCCCCACACACAAACTCTCTCTCACACACACACCTCTGTTTACTTTAATTCTCTTGCCAGCTTGGCACAGTCCTTTGTCCTTGGAGAAGTTAATTCAAGCTGCTTTCTCTCCTGCCTATTCACAACTTCTTTCTCTCAGTAAGAAACCTGACTCTCATCTTTCCAATGTATTTTCTTATTTGTTCAATCCTTGCATGCACATAGTTTCAGAATTACTAACCTAAGCCCTTTTAAGAAATAAATTTGCTATATATAGTATTTCTATATAGTTCTTTTTGTTTTTAGACTCAGAGTATCTAAGTCAAAATTCTGATTTGCAAAGTTATTTAGGTTGATTCCTTTTTGCCCAGACCCTTCAGTCTAGTTATTAAGCTGTTTGTAATGCAGTTAGGTCAGGTTTTTTTGACTGTCCTTTTATAGTTTTATTTGGCAGTATGATTCATCATGACTTGAGTTTTGTTTTGAAGCCATAATTGAGGGTCAAGTGCTAAAACCAGCATGTGTTATTTTTGGAGATACACTGTCTAAGGAAGCAGTTAAACATCATATGTAAGCAGGGTTTACAAGGACAGCATAAAAAAAGAACTTCAAGTTACAGATTTAGTTGAAAGAAAGAAGTTATATTTAAGAGTTAACAGATCTGCTGTTCAATATTTCCCATCTAAACATTGGTGCTTAAAAGGATCTTCCACATAGGAATTTTTTTAAATCTCTTGAATGGCTGCTAATCATGTACAGTTGCCAAAACATCAGTGAAAGATCACATCAGCGATGCTTGCTTGGGAAAGCCAGCAGGGTCTGCAGGTTCAGTACAGCATAAACACTGCCCACACGGTCATGCTTTTTGTGTATGTTCTGCTTTAACACGATGATGGAATAAAGGCAATTCTTATTTATTTATTTTATCTTTGATTTTGACAGAGAATGATGTAAAACAATACATGATTACATAGTCATCACCTGTGGTTTGAAGGCAAAAGAATTGCACATATATTCAAATGATTTGGATATATTGACAAAAAACATACTGGATGATTGCAGCTGATGTCAAAATGTAAGTCCATGTAGTAACCTCTTCATAGATAAAGTCTTACCTCCTTACGACAAAGTGAGCTGAGTTAAAATGCGCATAGTGCTCTGGTAAAAATTGTGAATGGCATAACATCTAGTGTCTTGAATTATAGATTATTCTTATCAGCATCTGATAATATAGAAACTAATTATGAATCAATTATTATGAATGGAGAGGCATGATAGTTATCATTGGGAAAACTACAGAATGGACATCAGCATTCCTCATTCCTCTAAGATAAGAAACAAGTGTGACCTTATATTGGTCAGCAGGACTTGTAGTATTGTGTGATCTTTGGTTCCCCCATCCCCAATTTATTTACCACCCTGCAAGGCATGTAGGCTGTTAGTCCCATGACCAGGGATCAAACCTGTGCCCCCTGCATTATAACACAGAGTCTTAACCACTGGACTGGCAGGGAAGACCGATCTTTGACATTTTAATCATCTGAATATATCCATGCCAGGAAGGATTTACATACTTGTCAATGTAGATACAATCAAAGAACAAAATTAAAACCTGTAACAACAGAATTTCTAGATATTATTTGATAACTAAACAATTTTATATCAACTAAATGACAACCTTGATGTTGCATATCTATTGGAAATTCTTGATAGACACTTTATGAATTGGATGAAATGTTTTGAAAATTATTTTCCATCAAAAGAAGATCCACTGCAAGGAAACTATAGCTTTAAAAATAATTTATAAATTAAAAACTACAGTTAAATTTAAATGATCTTTCAGTGACACAGAATCCATTTCTTTTATTGAAAAATCATTCAAATTTAACTGCCATTTGCATGATACTGTGCTTGAACTAGCTACTAATGTTTTAAAAATAAATTTTGGAAATATCTTTGTTTACTTTTGTTTACTTTTGAAGTATCCCATTCTTCATTTGGATAAAACCTAAAAGCAAAATCTTAGCCTGCAGAAATTGTTTAAATTTTATTTATTTTAATATTCTTATCAACATACTTCTGAAAGACTAGTTTCTATATCAAAATTTTTTTGTTAAAACAAACAATTTAGGCATTCATTACCTGTGTTAATAGTTGTCAATCCCATAACAAACAAGAAGTAAATTCATTGGTCCATTAAAAATTTTTAAATATTGATATTTTAGTGTTCATTAAGACTTTATGTGTATGCATTAATATGGGAAGTCAAATTTGTAATTTTTGTTTAGTTACTATTGAACAGTGATAGAGAGCTAGTGATTACTTAGACGCATATTTTCAGGAAATAAGATGTGTACTTTTTGTAATTCTATAGGGAAATAACCTATATCATATTTCATTAAATTATATTTACTAAAAAGTAAGTTTATTTTTGTTTAAAGAAGTCATAAAACTAGAGAATTAGTTTGTATGTATGTCCTTCAGTTCAGTTCAGTCGCTTAGTCGTTTGACGCTTTGTGACCCCATGAACTGTGGCACACCAGGCCTCCCTGTCCATCACCAACTCCCGGAGCTTGCTCAAACTCATGTCCATCGAGTCCGTGATGCCATCCAACCATCTCATCCTCCGTTGTCCCCTTCGCCTCCTGCCTTCAATCTTTCCCACCATCAGGGCTTTTCCAAATGAGTCAGTTCTTCACATCAGATGGCCAAAGTATTGGAGTTTCAGCTTCAGCATTAGTCCTTCCAATGAATATTCAGGGCTGATTTCCTTGAAGATTGACTAGTTTGATCTCCTTGCAGTCCAAGGGACTCTTAAGAGTCTTCTCCAATATCACAGTTCAAAAGCATCCATTCTTCGACGTTCAGCTTTCTTCACAGTCCAACTCTCACATCCATACATGACTATCTAGCGTTGACTAGATGGACCTTTGTTGGCAAAGTAATGTCTCTGATTTTCAATATGCTGCCTAGGTTGGTCATAGTTTTTCTTCCAAGGAGCAAGCATCTTTTTTTTTTTTTTCCAGTGTTACAACTCTATTTATTTAGATGATAGCAAGAAAATCCATCTTCGAGGTGTGAGGGCACTTCGATCCAGAGACGGAAAGAGAAGAGCGCCCCATTGCGCGGGAGAGAGAGAGAGAAAAGAGGGCTTTGGCTCCTCGTTTTATGTGTTTTTTGGTTCCCCCTGGGCCTGTCCTATGCAAATTGGGCTTAGGCAGGAGCGTTGTTTGTTTTACCTGAGGTTCTCACTCGGGTCCTCTGACCTTCCTTTGTTCTATTTTCGCGGGCTTTCCCTTCCAGGTCTTTTAGCCACCGCCATTTTGGACTCCTTTTCCCCTATTCTAACTACCTAACATTCCCCCCTCAAGAGATGGGAGGCCCAATTCTTTGGGAATAGGGGCGCTGAGGTCTCTCTGGCTACTTCCTGCTGAACTGGGATGGCGAGGGGCATTGGGCCTCCCCCTCTGGAGCAAGCATCTTTTAATTTCATGGCTGCAGTCACCATCTGCAGTGATTTTGGAGCCCCCCAAAATAAAGTCTCTCACTGTTTCCATTGTTTCCCCATCTATTTGCCATGAAGTCATGGGACCAGATGCCATGATCTTAGTTTTCTAAATGTTGATTTCTAATCCAGTTTTTTCACTTTCATCAAGAGGCTCTTTAGTTCCTCTTCACATTCTGCCATAAGGGTGGTGTCATCTGGTATCTGGGATTATTAATATATCTCCTGGCAATCTTGATCCCAACTTGTGCTTCATCCAGCCTGGCATGTCACATGATGTAGTCTGCATATAATTTAAATAAACAAGGTGACAATATACAGCCTTGATGTACTCCTTCTCCAATTTGAAAGCAGTCTGTTGTTTCATATCCAGTTCTATGTAGGTCCTTAAGTTGTTTAAAAAAAAAAAAAAGTTTGTCATATTATTCTAGCAATTTACTTATTATTTGTTTTTTATTTCAATTTTTAAAAATTGAGGTATAATTGACATACAACAGTATATTAGTTTCAGATGTACAACATAATAATTCACTATTTTTATATATTGTGAAATAACACCACAGTAAATCTAGTTACCATCGATAACCACTGGTAATTATAAATTTTTTCCCTTCTAAGGAGAACTTCTAAGATTTACTCTCTTAACAGACTTGCAACCTGTCACTTGCAGTAACATGCACAGTGATTCATTTTTTATTGTATTTCATAAATTATCAATCCACTATAGACTGAATATAAAAACCAGACAGACAAACAAAATTGAAAACAACAGCAAAAATAAAAGAAGAGAAAAGAAAAGGATAACGTGTCCTCCAGCAAAGACAGTTTGAGACTATAAGGAAGGTATTTAATTTTGGAGTGAGCATCAGGTTTCATCTCTGCACTTTCCCCAGAGAAGGTGAAGGGTGAAGGTTCTGAGCAGATCCTCAACAATAAGATTCACGAGAGATGAAAATGACCTGCACCTGGCCCACAGTGGACTACTGTTTACACCCCAGTTCTGACTTAGTCCTTGTCCTGCGTGGTCCTCATGGTGGACAAGAGGAAGGAAATGGCCAGCAGGAGTGTGCCCATCCACCAGGACATCTGGGCACTGGCACGGTCCTCAGTCCACTGCAGCCACTGACTACCTCTGGGGCCTGTGGCGCCTCCACCCCTCTGGGGCATGTGGAGGATTTTAGTTTCTGCCTGCTGAACTGGTACTTGGAGCTTATCAAGGACAGGATTTGTCTGGAAATGGAGAGGGTGGAAATGAGTGATTTAGTGCAGCAAAATAGAACAGAGGAATTTATTATCAGAATCGAGAGTCAGGTTAAATCCTTAAAAAAAAAAAACAAAAACTTAGCTTTGTTGAAAATGAATTGGTTAAAGGAGTCTTATACTCTCTCATTTCGTAATATTGGTTTCTTCTTCCAAATGGTAACACCAGAGTGAGGGATGTAGAGAAGTTACATAACAGATAACTTAGAAGACACGAGACCTGTTTTCCCCCTGTGCTCCGTTCACCAGTTAAATCAGTCATTTGACATTGCTAAATTGTTCTGATGTTAATGACAGTGATAAGCAGATCATGTCATACCTAATATGTAAAGTTAAGTTAGTTAAAACCCATAGAAGGTACATATCCCTAAATTATTATCTGCTTCTGGTGAGGGATCTATACTTCATTTTAATTTCTGCCTTCAAAAACTCTTTTAAGCTTGGTGGTGATTCATTTTATTGTACCTTTTATATACTTCCAGAATTGTTTCTTTCATCTACTATTTGAATGGTGACTGATGGAGAAATCATTCACGATAATATGCTCCAGAAGGAAAATATACCCACCCAGCTATTGTTTCGGCTCCTTAAATCATATTTTTACTTTGTCTGATAAAAAGGCTCATTTACCTTGGAAATAGCAAATGTGTCTGCTACAAAATGGGTTTCCTGATGTCAAGTAAGATAAATATCAGGCCAAGGGCCCATAGCTTTCTTATATATTAATAACTAAATACAGAAATTTGAAGCATTAACAATGGCATTCCTCCAGGAAAAAGGGGGGGTTGTCATTTACTCATCAGATATTTATTGAAAACCTATATATATCAGAAACTGGTATTAGAGCTGGAGCTGCAATATGAACAACAGAAATTCCTACCCTTGGCTCACATTGATCCTAAATAACTGTGTCTTTGCAAGAAAGAACTGAGTGGCCATTTCCACTGTCTGACTTCAGTCATTGTAAACGTACCACAAAGTAGGATGAGTATCGTACATACCGTTGAATTCAACACCATCTGGAAATGCTACTATGCAAACTCCAGCATCAAATATGAGCCAGGTGATGTACTCACATCCCTTCTCAGCCTCATAAATAAATACTCCAGGTAGGTGCTACTCTTTCCCTATAATACATCCTTATAGCTCACAATGCATAAAATGACTTCATCCAATCAAATGCCATGGCAGATCTGAGTTTTCACTTGGTTGTTGGAACAGTTTTGGAAAAGTCTGTCAGGGAAATAGTACTGTTTAAAGCCTGTGGCTGGAATAAGTGTTGTTCTTTTGTACCAGTACTTCTAGAAGATTTAAGGGCTTCTGGGAATCTTATGTAAATTGGCAGTTTCAGATCCTCTGAGAAATCATCTGATGCAGTTCCCTGTCTGTAGTGCATTCTCTCCTAGTTAGAGAGTATGTCTGGCACCAGAGAGTATTTTGACAGAAATCTTGCTTCTGATGTATATTTGTTAAGTTTCCCTCTAGGTGTTTTTTTTAAGGATACAGATGCCTGTTGTTTTTCATGACTTATTGAATAAATAGAACACAAGAGGAGGTTTGATTTCTTAAATAAGGAAAGCATTAAAGTCCATGCACTTAAACATATTTTATGTTGAGAAGTCTTTCAATCTAATTCCTCTTTTTTTGCTATAGTTTAAATATATAAGATTACTTTAAACGTTGAATTGACTAAGTCAATGAAATTCATGCATTTTGGTACTGAAAACTGAATTCCAAATACAGATTTTCAAATTCTGTGTTTATTCTAAAGATTGTAGGTTTAAGAAAGTAGAAGCCTAGGGTTTTGTCTTAGTTCTCTTATCATCTACTTGTGAGACCTTTGCCAAAACATTTATCATCTGGAGAAAACTAATTTTCCAAAATGTCATTATATTGAAGGACCATAAAATAACTAATGGTGGCCATCAATTATTGCAATAGAAAACTGTACTAAAAATAACCATAGTAAAACCAATGTCTTAGTATCATAATGATTTCATAATCAGCCACTGAACAAAGTATTTTTCATTAATATAGGAAAAATCTTATACATTAATATACTGCATTCAATGTCTTATTGAATTGATAGGAAAAGCAATGCTAATTGCCATCACAATACAGAGAAAAAGTAGATAAAGGAGAATAGAAAAGGATGGTGTAAAATACATCTTTAGTATTGGAGCTGGAGCTGAAAGTAGTATGGAAAGCAATGAAATAATTATGGTAAATGAAGAATTGTTTAATGGATTGCTTATGTGAGGATACATAGAGAGTTTTAGCCATACAGCCTAGGATGACTTGGTAAGGACAGCTGTGACATGCTTATCATCCACTGATGTTAACACATGATTCTGAAGGAAACCCGTATTAGAAGCAAACTGCTCAAAGACTTATTCAGTGTGACCACCAAAATGTGCAACCTTCTTAACTTCTTCAAAACCTTGTCCTTTAAACTATTCGGGAGCATTCTAAAGAAAGCACAGCCAAAGCTGCCTCTGTCCTACCTTGAGTCCTTGCCAACCTTATAAATAAAAATTATGTCTGAACAACAGGTGTGTGTGTGTGCATGCATGTGTGTGGCATATAAGCATCTATATATGAACATGCTTTGTGAGTATAGCATGTATAATCAATCAGAAATTGAAGATTGCTGAGATTAATATTTTTCTTGAGTTTTCATGTTATTAAAGATTCTTAGTTGCTTGTTAGACAATTTATGTGATAGATTATAAGGAATTAATTGTGATGGGAAAGACAAGAGGAAAGGGAACTTTTCTCAGGCATTGGGCATCTCTTTTGTTCCATGTACTTTGCAAAATCCTTTATAATCAGTTTTTAGTATAAATTCATATACAGTTATTAATATTCAAACATTATGGATGAGAAAAGTAAGCGCAGAGAGGTTGAATAACATATATGATGACCCACAAGTGACTACTGTTTCAAGGTTCAAAAAGTATTTTTTATAAAAACCTCATTTGTATCATGATCTCCATTTAATCTCAATATATCATGGAGTCTCAAAGCAGTTGCTATCTCTGTGGCAATACCTGCTACCAAACAAATCAGGTCCCACTACTCACTGCTCACAAAATCAATTACATACTCATGAATGGTAGGGAAAAAAAGTGTTTTTCATCTGAATGCCAGCAATCTGGGGAGATGGGGGACCCAAAGTCCCTTAAAACCACCTCCCAAGACTCTGCTATGAACATTTTTAAACAGAAGCAGAGAAGGAGTGTCAGTTAATCGCTGAGATAGGTGGTCAGAGGCATCGCCAGTCCCCACTGTGTGCAGGCCTGTGAGCTCCTCGCGGCCCCCCTCTAGATGCCAACTTATTTACATGGTTAGGGCTTACATTTTGTTTGGAGGTTACTGAAGGGGAAGCTAGGGAAGAGATCTGGTCCTCTGTTAATTACTGATTCTTCATTACTACTTCTTTAACCTATGGAAAGAAGAGACAAGTTAGGAAAGGTATTGTGCAATTAAAAGATTTGAAAGATATGCTTGAATCAGAGATGAGTAGAACATGGGGGTGCTTGGTTTAAAGTTAGTTACCATATAACTTCATTAAAGTGACAGGAAAAGGAGCTTCCTCCTGAGGGCGATTTCCTCTAAAGAGTTGCTTACATGTCCTCCATAATTAAGTTGTGATTTAACTATTAATATCCACTAAGGTAATTACTTATATAACCACCTGTATCATTTAGGACTGAGCCCACCTGCAAAAACAAAACAGACATCAAGGCAAAACAAAACAAGTGTCTGACTAATGAAGGCTAAATACAAAGATGAATCATCTCCTGCTGCCAAAGTCACCACTTTAGGACTGAGTTCTGGCAAGTAAAGACAGAGGACCAGGGAAGTCATCCAGGTCCTAGGTGTTTCCTGTCTCCCTGCTCTGCCAAGATATGTGACTTTCCTCCTCTTGCACCCAGGGGGACTGCTGAATGCCTTCGGGCATGTGTTTCTGTTCTAGACATTAGAAGACAGAAAGGGAAAGCAAGATAATAACCGTCCATGTCATCTGATGCTGTGTCTATAATTGATAAAAACTGATATGACACGTCGTCAGCTAGTGGAAAGAGCATGTGAATATGTGAATGTATTTAATACAGCACACTGATATCCTAAAGCAAAGAATTTCATTTTCATGGGAAAAGAAGAAAGGATTTAGGTAGAAATGAATAATGCCTATCTCACTGAAAATTTCAACTCTGATAGATGACTTAAAATATCTACAGCCAAAGACACTATTGTTTTCATCATGTCCCCCCAAATATCATAGACTTTTAGATATTATCTGAGAGAACTTTAACTACTGATACAAGGGAAGCTAATCACTTGCCCTAAATCACATGCAAGTTAAGGAATACTGATATAAACACTTAAGGGCTATATTTTAGTTTCCCATTCATTCCTTTAAGTAGCTTTTATCTTATTAATTCTTAAACACTAGCATTTTATGTTGCTTCAAATGGTAAGTCTTTCCATCTTTCCATTTGTGGACATATTTTTCAGTGTTCCAAGGTTTGCCCAAGAATATCACCTGCCATTTCAGTAAACAAAGGATGCTGCAGCCATAAAGACATCAGCCTTGGCAGCCACTCCGAACAGGCACCCTGAGTGGAATTTAGGATGGAGAAAAACAAGAGACTGGCCCTTGTGAGTTAAGATGCAATTCTAAGGGATAATTTCAGTGAGCTCAGACTCTTGCATCTTCCCATATAGAGAAAAGCACTGAAATCTTCAGCTTGAGATGTCTGTTTTTGTGATTAACAGTCATCTTTTGATATTTGACTATGTATTTTTTCAAGCAAAACTCCTATATGTCCTGACTCCTCCCTTACCTCTGAAACAGGCCCCCAGAATCATCTGAGAAGCTGTATCTCTGGCTATAGTCCTCAGTAGTTTTATCAAAAGAAAACCATAATTCTCAACTTTGAGGTTGTGTTTTTTTTTTTTTTTTTCTTTTCAGTTAACAAAGGGAGCCTATACATCTAACGTGTTAAGTCATAAACAGAACTCGGGCGGTTAAGCCAGCAGCAATCCGTGCTGTGGGCTTCCCAGGTGGCTCAGCAGTAAAGTGCTCCACCTGCAATGCAGCAGACACAGGTTCAATCCCTGGATTGGGAAGGTCTCCTGGAGAAGGAAATGGCAACCCACTCCAGTATTCTTGCCTGGAAAATCCCACGAACAGAGGAACCTGGCAGGTCCATGGGGTTGCAGACAGTCAGACATGATTAAGCACAGCACACAATCAATGTTGTGGCTTTTCCTTTTTAGAAGTCCATTCAAACTCACCCCACATCCTTTTCTCTGGATGCAATGCCTTCTCCAGTTCTCAGCTACTTGATTAACAAGTTTTCTACAGACAAACAAGATGACTGATATAAAAGATAAACTCAAAATTCAGAGTAGAAAGACTTGGATAAGAGAGCTGTTATCTTCTTCAGGGTGAAAGCTTTGTCTTGCTATGCATTTACAGCAATTAAGAGCTAATGCACCAACATATTCAACCATAGGAGCTTTTGAACAAGATCATGTAGGCGGATGGTATCTGGCCAATTTGTATGTTATCAGAACTATCAGCTGGACTGTGCGCACATTTAATCAAACCTATTATCTGGGATTTAAATCCCCTGTCTCGTATCTTACCTACTTCACTCAAAAACAAATGAGTTAAGCTTTAATGTTAGCAGTCATTGGCAAATAATTCTTCTTTCTAGACTTTGAGATAACAAAATCCTACCTATGTGCTTTTGTCTTATTTTTATCCACCATCATACATACAAATATTTCAAGATCTTTATATTGTGAAATGTAAAAAAAAAAATTTCTCTGGCCTTTGGCCTCCTCCCTCCCAAGACTTTGTACGTCTGCATCGTGTATTCACCAAATCTACCCCATCAGCAGAAAAACCCACTCAACCACAGCAGTGTAGCAATGTTAGTCGCTCAATCATGTCCAACTCTTTGAGACCCCATGAACTGTAGCCCGCCAAGCTCCTCTGTCCATGGGATTCTCCAGGCAAGAACACTGGAGTGGATTTCCATTCCATTCTCCAGAGGATATTTCTGGCCCAAGGATTGAACCCAGGTCTCCTGCACTGTAGGCAGATTCTTTACCATCTGAACTACAGGGAAGATCTGTAGCAGCACTCTCTCAGCATCAATAAGACAACTCCTTCTTGATAAGATAACATTCCTTCTTGATAAGGGGTCACATGGCACTTAGATCTGGGTTGCTTAGTACATCTTTTGATGTCAAGCCCTCTGTCTCTGCCTACAGTCCACTCCAGTATTCTTGCCTGGAGAGTCCCATGGACAGAGGGTCCTGATGGGTACAGTCAGTGGGGTCACAAACAGTCAGACACAACTGAGCAACTAATACTGCTACTGCCTCTGTCTCAGATCTTCCCTGTCGCTCAGATGGGCTCAAAAATTTTTTTTTATATAACTGTGCCTTGACTTCTAATGGGTTGAACAGTTCTCAGAGCTTTCTGAGATGCTCTACCTGGGTTAGAATCCTTACATTTGGCTGGAGTAAAATTTTCCATTTCTTTCTTAGATGAACTGATGAATTTTTCATTGATAATATGAATA